CGGTTAGAAAAATGTTATTTTAAATTAGGAAATCCAATGACCTGTCAATATTTATAATAGGTTGATGTAACTTCTAGTAACTGCACCAAAATTTCCCGTATTTCTTCAAGAAAATGTTTTACTTCAATAATCAATTGCTTCCATGTTCGTCAACTCCTTAGATAGGTAAAAACTTTAAAACATTATCAACAAAACACACAATTTTTTATTTAAGTTTACACCTCACAATTTCCCTGTTCTCCGTTGTTCACAAATTTTCAATTTTTTTGTTCTAACCGTTAAACGCATTGAGGTTAAACGTAACTATATTGCTGAACTGGTTAGAGAAACGACGTACCGTTTCCTAACCCGGTTACAAAGTGACGTCATCGATATCACTCGAATTTAAGCGGTATATTGCGGTTTGTTGAACTAGAGCCACGTGAAAAGGGCTATAGGATTTCGAAAATAGGACGGCAATTGTCGCCACTGTAGCTATATGTCAGTTTCCACTTACCATGGGAATATTTTCTATGAACAGTGGCATTTTATTCGAATATTAACGTGTCGATTTTGAAAAATCCGATTCCTGGTATCACAAGAAACATTCTCCGCACTGAAATCTATTGAAAATCGGAAAATATTCGAGAAAAATTAATGACAGCCAAAAAATACAATTTTAAAATGGCCGCCCAAGGCCTGCTTTGATGTTTTTGAAACGTGAAGTTAGCTAATGAATAATTTTCACTTTGCTTGATCAAAAATTAGATTTTCCCTTAAAATTCAATTCTTTGCACCTTGCACCCCAAGAAACGTTCTTTTTCTTATAAAACTAACAAAACGCAATAGGGCAATCTAACGACCTGTCAAAAAATCAATTCAATATGGCGGCAACAAAGTATGCTTCTGTATAGAAATATCAAAGCCCATTGTGGTTATGGTGAAACAATGAAATTTTGTGAATTTTTGAGTGGATTTTCTATTGCTGGAAAAAGATAATTTACGTATTTTCGTAGTGTATAAACAAAAAAACAAACACACATCGCAGATGTTTGACCGTTGCCGCCATATTGAATTTATGTTTTGGCAGGTCGTTGGATTGCAGGTATAATACCTTAGACAAGGAAAGTGAGAGGACGCGTAACATCTATTACCTGCACTAGCAGCTTGGTGTGCCGAATACGCCATTATTTGGTGATAAACTTTCACGGGGCCGCTATGCGAATTTTAATTTAGACCCCGCAGAGAAAACAAAAGTGGACAGGATTACATTTAACAGGCAAAAAACAATATGCTTGCTAGGTTATGTTTCGAAAAAAGCAGCCATTTTTTGATGACAACTTGCCTCATTTACACTTGCTTTGATACGAGTCCCCTCTCTTTCCTTGTCTAAGGGCCGGTTTATCAATAGAGTGTTACCCCATGAGTTAAGGGATAACTCTGGGTTAAAGTTGTGACAAGTGTTTATCCATCCAGGGTCAACTGCTAACTCGAAAGTTATTCTAGGACTAAGTTAACCCTCGCTCTCACGGCAAATTAGCGTATTTAACTCAGAGTTTTCTGTTAGTTTTTGTCTGCATTTTTTTGAAATATGTGAATTTCAGTGGTGTTGATCGAGATGTTCTAGAATAGAATTTCTAGAACATGAGCAACAGCCGGTGCCACTACCACAAAAAAATAAGGTTATGACTAGAAGATTTCTAAAAATCGACAAAAGTGAGCTGGCAACGTTGCATAGATAATTCCAAACTTCAAAGAACCCGAAAGTTTACCAGCCCTGGGATAAACACTTTTCGACCTAACGAGGTACATATTGTTCGTCAATTTTTAACTGACACTTTCCACATGAGGAGCGAGGGGGTGTTTCATATGGCAAAAACAGGTGTGACGTCAGGTAACCATTGGCGGTCCAATGTAGGATGCCACCAGCTCACATTCCGTCCGAGTATCAGATTAAAATCGACGGACAATACATAGCCCAGGGTTAGAGTTGTCCCAGGGCCAGCAAACTCTGCGAGTTATTCCTTGGTTGATAAATCGGCCTTATAAGGATAATACACAACACACTACTGAAGGATTGCTTATCGCAAGGTTCCTAAAGCTATTAGGTTGCCTGGTAATGGAAACTTGATGGCGCATCTAGAGTGCCTGGAGATATGCATTATGTTGAGGCACCACAGGTGACGTCATAATTGGTGTGTTACGATTTCCGACGTCATTAACAAGTCGTCAGCTGTTTGCATTAGAGGTCGTAGTTTAGAAACAAGATCTAAAAAAGAGTTGTTATAGAATGGTAATTATTGTAACTAATGTAGTAAAACCAAGTATGCATAAAGCAAAAGCCCGCGGAATCATAACCTGTCGTGCAAATGACCTACGTCAAAGCGAAAAAGGATATGCTGTATATGTCACAACTGGTGATTTGACGTGGTCTGATGCTTCAGATTCGTTCCACACTGGTCTTATGAGGATAGGCTATCCTGTAGTAGTAGTGTGTATTATCCTTCGTTGGATGGTTTCATTTTGAAATTTGGCAATTCAAACTACGTGACATTCAAGATGGCGTGGCGGCCACACATGGGCCAAAAAACACAAAAAAAAAATATCTAAGCTTCTGCCCGAATTAATAGTTTAGGTACCTAGACAACAAATATTTCATTAAATAATGAAAATCAAAGTTGTAAACAAAACTCTATGCAAAATAATTTAAAATACGCATAAAAACATATTCAAAACAAACTTGCTTGGCCGCCACGCCACATTGAATTTTCCTGTTTGACAGATGGATTGAATTGCCTAATAGCCGTCCAAAGCCTACTTTGATGTTTTCGAAACGTGAAGTTAGCTATCGGAAAATTTTAATTTTTCTTGATGAAAAATCTGATTTTCTTAAAAAATACCAAAAATTCAATTTCTTGCACCACAAAAAAAAAAGTTATTTTTCGTATAAAACTACAAAAATGCAATAGAGCAATACAACGACTTATCAAAACACAAATTTAATATGGCGGCAACGGTCAAACATCTGTGATGTGTTTGTCTTTTGTGTTTAATATACCTACACTACGAAACTACAAAAATTATCCTTCTGAAGCAATAAACCAGTTTATTTACGACTAATGTATAATGTGCGTATTATATTTGTGATTTTGGCAGTATAATGACATATGTTATTCCTCCAGGGATTAATGACGAGTAGCGGGATTAATGGTCATTATTCCACAAAAGTGTCAGTGTCAAACGTGTAGTGCGTGTGGATTTGTATTGAAAATTATGAGACGGATGAAATTTGTTCATTGAAAATCTTAAATAAATTAATTTGTCGTAAATAAAGTAGAGTATACTACTCGCAATAATGGCTATTATTCCCTCGGAATGTTACTCCCTCGCCGCTAACGCGGCTCAGTTCGTAATAATCCTCGGGAATAATAGCTATCATTATTGACTCGTGGTATAATCTACTATTTATGATAGCAAAACGTCACGGTCGTCTGGAGGTTAATGAAATCCTTCATTGTTTGACCATGGCCGCCATATTTCAATAAGATAAATTCTTTATTCAAACAATGATAAAAATCTAAAATTAAAACTGCAAACAAGTGAAATTATACCATCCAAGAATTCTTGTATCAAAACTTAGGGCCGGTTTATCAAGAGAGGGTTACCTACTCCATGAGTTACGGATAACCTTGAGTCAAAGTTGTGACAAGTGTTTATCTATCCAGGGTCATCTGCTAACTCGAAAGTTATTCCAGGAAAAAGTTAACCCGCGCCCTCAGGTCAAGTTAGCGTATTTGACCCAAGGTTCCTAAAGTTAATAGACCGCTTTGGGACGTCTGGTAATGGGTAACTTGATGACGCATCTGTAGTGCCTTATGGAGATTTACATGTTGCGGCACTCCAGATGACGTCATAAAGTTATCAGGCAAACCCTCTCTCGAACAACCTTGCAACAAACCTATGTTTGTTGGGAATTCGAGGATTTTGCATATTTTTACACAGAACAGAATACACAAAACCACAGAAAGAAATCAAACTTTCCGCTACGCAAAAGAAAAAAAAATTAGGCAATTTAATCCATCTGTCAAAATGGAAAATTCAATATGGCGTGGCGGCCAAGCAAGTTTATTTTGAATATGTTTTTATACGTATTTTAAATTATTTATTTTGCTTAGAGCTTTGCTTGCAACTTTCATTTTGATTATTTAATAAAATATTTGTTACTAAGTACCTAAATTATTGAATCGGGCAGAAACTAGATATTTTTTTGTGTTTTTTGGCCCATATGTGGCCGCCACGCCATCTTGAATGTCACGTGGTTTAAATCAGAGATGGGTATCTACGCGTAAACAAAGATTGTCTACGTCTGGTGTAAACAACGCGTAGACAATGTAAACTATGTAATCTATGTAGACAACGTGTAAAATATGTAGAAAACGCGTAAAGTTTACAATTTTTGACAGTTGGCAGGCCTTTAAGGTTATGTTTCTGTTTTTGCTTTGTTTTGTTTTTTGCTTTGTGAAGTTAATTAAACTGCAGATAATGTCTAATTTGATACAATATATATTTAATGCAATGCAAACTTTCAAAAAAATTACCTACTCAAATTTCAAATTTTCTGTTGTCTACATTGTCTACATAGTTTACATAGTCTACATGGAAAAAAGTGGATGTAAACAATACGTAGACAACGAGTAGACAAACCGCGTAAAGTAGATTTCATAGTTTACGGCACATCCCTGATTTAAATTGCCTAATTATATATAAGTAATTGAGGTTATGAATAGAAAATGTCAAAAAATTGAGAAAAGTAAGCTGGCAAACTTGCATAAGTAATGCCAACTTTCAAAGAACCCAAGAGTTTACCAGCCTTGGGTTAAAAAAGTTTGGAAAAACTTTGACTTATCTAGGTAGTTAACCCAGAGTTAGTCTTGACGACTTGACCCAATGTCAGCAAATTCTGCGAGTTATCCCTCGATCGATAAACCGGCCCTTAAACAAAATACAAACTACTTAAGTATAAATACTTCCAATTATATTTAATAACTCTTGAATGAAGCATATAATGAAAGCGCTATAAACTGACTAGATACAGATTGTAGGGCTTTCAAAAACTAAAATTCCAAACTAGTTGAACGGCAAAATAGAATAATCTTCACCCCCTTCAAGTAACTTTGCATCAATGAATTCGGAACAATTAAACTGAAAAAAAAATTAAAATACAACGTTGCCAAATGACTTTTAAAATCCTAATACCGCAGCCAAATTCAACTCTCCTCCGTAACTATTATCCTTGGCCGAAGACTCAACTTTGCAATCTGGCATCTCGTTTTCCACTACTTCAACTATAAAAAAAAAACAAAAATAAAAAACTGCATTTTTTTTGAGTTAGTCACTCACTGTCTTGCGCGACGTTGCCAGACTTCATATTATCCATTGACAATGACTCGATATCGTAATTGTCAAACAAAGCCGGATTAAAATTTAATTGTGACAGATTAGGGAAATTTCCTGTATAAAAATAATTAGAATATTTATTACTTGAATTGAACAAATAATAACAATAAACTTTACAGAAGATAACATTAATCAAGAAATATAACAATCGAAAATATCAATTTTTAATGGCGATTTGATTTGCACTCTTTTTGACAGTTGACGTTTAAGGCATTGATTATCTGTCAACTGTCAAAAAACCGTCCGATACTGAAATCGACATATTTTTTCCCATATTACATTTAAACAATAATGTCATCGGTGTGTCAAATTAAAAATCAACGAAGTACAGACTCTACATAAAAGAAAAAATCGCTAGAAGGAATTTTCTTCACAAGACGAAAAAGGGCCATTTAATTACTGCAAAACGATACTTTGGGAAAGCAATGAGAGCTTGCCCCAATATGGCGGCCACTAGTGACTGATTTATTTTGACAGATGACAAATAACTAAACGCGCAAATTCTTCGGTCGATTACCGTCGGTAAGATCCTCGATGTTCTCCAACATTGACGCAATGTAAACGTAACTGTTGACGTTCGGATCCGTCATTTCGCCGCCTCTCGCGCCCAAAATATCGCCCGCCTGTCCGGGACTTTGAACCGTTAGAGCGGCATTTTTGTCGTTGCTCGTTTGAATCACGGTCGCCACCACTGGAACCCAAATTCCTACAATACGACCTTTGGCCGAAGAGGAATCTAACAAAAAATGTTACTAACATTTTCAAAAACCTCTACACAAAAACTTTTACCTTGACCGACCGTTTTCGCTGTAGTCGATATGGTACCGAATCTTTTCAAATCCTCAGCGGTTGCGGGTAAAAGCATCTGCTTGTCGCCGTCCGGATGGACGCGTACCAAAACCGGCACGCCGGATAACGGACGGAGAAGCGCAAACGGCGTGCGTCCGGCTGCTAAAGCCGCTCTCATCGCGTCCGTTTTGATCGGATCGACGCGCACGGCGCCGTTCAAGTCTTGCGGTCCGGCCGTGTCATGTTCGAGCTGTTCGTGCGAACGCATCTCGGAGCGTTTCGAAAACGACGCGTCGCAAATTTCGCAGTTGTATTGCGGCAACAGGTGGTTTTGGTCTTGATGAGCTTGCGACTTGTGGCAAGTCAAATTCGATTTTTGATTGAAGCCTTTGTTGCATATGTCGCACTTGTACGGTCTTTCTCCGGTGTGAGTGAAAATGTGATTTCTTAAGTTGCCTTTTTGATGGAAAGCCTTGGGACACAAATGGCATTGATGCGGTTTGATTCCAGTATGAGTTTTTTTGTGGGAAATCAACGTTGATACTCGGTTGAAGGTCTTGTGGCAAACTTCACAAACGTGCGGACGCTTTGAAGAATGAATCGCCTTGTGCTGAGTCAATGTAGACATTTGCCTGAACGCTTTACCGCAAGTGGAACAACAATAATTTCTTTCAGTCAAATGAGTGTTTAAGTGTCTGTTAAGAGTGTACTGGTGAGTGCACTCTTTTTGGCCTGGAAAAAACACTTAAGTATCTCGATTTCAAAAACAATTTCCTTACAAATTGGGCACTCGAAAACTTTAATATTTTCCCCATTGACGTTTTTGTATTTGTGGTAGATTTTGTCGTATATTCTTTGGTCTTTTACCGGCTCTTGGCTTGTTACAGTTGCTGCCGGCAGGTGGTATCCTAGAAAATTATTTGAATTTGATAGCGATGATATTTGATTTGGTAATTTTACTTACTGGCAATACCTTGCAAATTTTGAAAACCCATATTGTTATTAGTTGAAGCAGTTCCCAAATGCTGGGCGGCGCGAGGAAAAATCACCGGATCCGATTCTGGATTTTTTTCCAGTCTATATCTACTGAAAGATTTTTTTTCTCTAAATGTTAATTTTATCCAAATGATTAAATAATTAAAAACAATCTTTATAGATTACCAATTACTTGCGAAATTGAATGTTCACCTATTATTTCCATGATTATTTGCACCTATTCTAGAAGTCAAAAGAAATGGAAAATTTCATGCAGATTAAGTTTTTCACACATCTCTAGGACCAGTCTGTATTAGAGAAAAATATGTTCCTGTAATCTTGGCTTTAAAAAATTGTTCCTTGTAAGTAAATTAGGCTGTTTATTTGTACTTGCTCTACCTGCCCGAACTCGAAAAATCAGGAAGATCTGCTAGGAGCTGCTATTTATGAGCTTATACAGGGTGTACCATTTAAAACGAAACAGGCTAAATATCTAATGCCACGTTTATTTTTAAAAAAATTGCTCGAACACGTAATTTGATTTTCAAAGGGGGAAGTTCTCTGCGACTTCAGCTTTAACACTTCAGACGGGCCGAAACCAGGGGTCGAGTGATACCGCTTTTAAAAGAGCGTTCAATTCTCTTTTATTTGAAAGAAAATTGAACGCACTTTTAAAACAGGTATCACTATCGCTCAACCAAGAAATACACACTACTAAGAATTGCTTATCGGCCTCGTTTTTAGTAATCGCCGCCATATTAGTGTGTCACCATTTCCGACGTCATTAACTAAGTCGACAGCTGTTTGCACTAGCGGTCGTGAAACCAAGTATGCATAAAGCAAAAGCCCGCTGAATCATAACCTGTGGTGCAAACAGCCCACGTCAAGGCACGGCGAGAAAGGTCATGCTGTCTACGTCACAATTGGTAATTTGGCGTGGTGTGGTGGGTGGCTTCAGGTTTGTTCCACACAGTCCTTATGAGGATAGGCTATCCTGTACTCTGTAATAGTAGTATGTATTATCCTTGTCACTCGAGTCCCTGTTCCATTTGGAATGATAACCACCAAGGATTATACACACCTACAGGATTACTTATCGGCTTCGTTTTTTGGTATAATCGCCGCCATATTGGTGTGTCACCATTTCCGGCGTCTTAACTAATTCGTCAGCTGTATAAACAGTGATTTGGCAGGGGGGGTCTGTTCCACACTGGCCTTATGAGGATAGGCTATCCTGTAGTAGTAATGTGTATCATCCTTGGGTCCTACCACCGTACGAGCGATTTGCAAAATAAATAAAAGTGACATCAGATATTTAGCATGTTTCGTTTCAAATGGTATGCCCTGTATATGGGACAAGTGAACGCCGATCTGCTGCTGAGATTTGCTTGAAGCAAGAAAAGCAGCACAAATGAACACCCTTCTTAATAATTATTATATTTAAATTTTGCGCCATTGTGTGAATGTACCTAATCTTGTCAATTGTCAAGGAAGAAAAAAAGCAGAAGTTTCGATTTTGACCTAACCTAAAAATAAGGAAGAAGAAATATCTACACGCAGTTTTGTAATTTTCCTCAAGGTTCCAATCCAGTTTCCTGGAAATGACTTTAGCCGTATACAGTCAAGGATAATACACACTACTAAGATAGGCCTGTAGGGAACAAATCTGAAGTCCCCCACCACGCCAAATCACCAGTTGCGACGTAGGCAGCATGTTGCGTCTCGCATTGACATAGGCTCTTTGCACCTCAGGTTAATTTCGTGGGCTTTTGCTTTATACATATTTGGTTTTACTACAATAATTAACATTCTAAAACAACTCTTTGAGATCTATTTATCATCTTCCTCTTTGCCTATTATGTTAATCCAAATTGAATAATAATTTTTTTCACTAAAAATTCTAAACTTCGAACGCTAGTGCAAACAGCTGACGATTAGTTAATGACGTCGGAAATGGTGACACACCAATATGGCAGCGATTACCAAAAACAAGGCCAATAACCAATCCTTGGTATACAATGACTCAATCTACCTCAATGAACTCACTTTGGTTTGCACATTGGTGTAAACCGACCATGTTGTAAAAATTGTCACTTTACAGCGTTGATTATCGTTAAACCTTCCTTAAAATGGTCGGTACAAACCAAGGTTGTTTGAGAGAGGTAGGTTGCGATAACTTTATAATGTCATCTGGGGTGCCTCAATATAATGCAAATCTCCAAGACCCTCCAGGGCCGGTATTCTGGTTCTCAAAAACGCTCACCGCTTTCTAGTCGCTCGGCACTTTAAATGCAAATTTACATTGAAAGTGCCGAGCGACTGAAAAGCGGTGAGCGTTTTTAAGAACGAGAATACCGGCCCAGATCAAGTTCTCCCTTACCAGACAACCTCTCAATGTTAGGGCAAACCTTCTTGGCTGCAAACGGCCATCAATAAACCTTTGCACACAATGGCGATAATAATTAGGCAATTCCGACCCAAGGATATTACACACTACTACGGGAATAATTATCGGCCTCGATTTTTGGAGTCAAAGGTTTATGATGTAGCACCATTGCCAACGTTATTAATTAAGTCGCCAACTGTTTGCGCCCAATGAACTATATACTACACGTTACTGGAACGGACCTAACAGCTGCTTTCAATATTCATTTTTGAAGCAAATTTTATGGTATAAGAGGGCTTGTTTGCTCTGTCCTCTGTCGCACGCGTACATATTTACGTTCAATGATGGGGTATAATAAATCCACCTAGCCTTGTCTAAGAATGCATAAGACAAAGATGGCCACCCCGTTTACTACATTGAAAATTTGCCTCAGACGGAATAAATGCTGGTGTCATTCCATTTACGTAGTATACATTTCACTGTTTGCGTCAGTGGTCGTAGCAAGGTTCCTACACTCTATTAGGTATGCACATGTTATCTTCATCCGTTTATGACGTCACTGCTGACAGAGCATAAGCATTTCGTCAGTAGCGCCGTAATTTACATAAATTAATAATGAATGTAATTTTTTGTATCGTGTATTTGCTATACAGTCTAAAAACGACTGATTATTTCCGAAACACAATAAAAAAAGCACATAAAATATTTATAAACGTCATGAAAACAATAGCGGACGTCATGATTTCATTTGTGACGTCACGCTCCCCCTTCACCGCGAGGGGTGACTGACATCAAAATCGGCAAATTGCACATATTTACCTCGTAGAGTGAAAGAACTTTGGGTCGTAGTTTAGAATTTAAATTTATGATGAAAAATATTACCTATTTAATGTTGATTAATATAATAGCCAAAGAGGAAGATACAAACGAGATCTAGAATGTTAATTAATGTAGTAAAAAGCGAAACTGTAAGCAAAAAACGACACGCTGCTACATCATCATTGGTGCTTTCACATGGTGGGGGCCTTAAGATTTCAACGACATAGGCTTTATGAAGATAAAGTATCTTGTAGTATAGGATTTTCACGCTATATTTAGGATTACGTCACATTTAGTGAATTTCTGCTGCAAATCTAACAAATCTTAAAGTACTTCTTAACGCATTTAAAATAGGGGAATTTCAGATGTTTCTGGTTGGCAACAGTGCGCTATGTTGCATGATTTAAATGAACATTTTCAAATAAATAACGCGTGTCGATTCATTTCATTATTTTTAGCTGTCAGTGGTCTTGACATTCTGGTAAATTATAAGAAAACAGATAGGCATTGACAACATTGTCAGTCCTTTGTTCTCTGACGTCATCCTAAATATAATGTAAAAAACCTATAGTATAGTAGTGTGTATTATCCTTGATTCGAACCAGCTAATAATTTAAGATGACGACGTGGCCATAACAGGCATTTTGAGAACTGTAAAGGTACGTCAATATTCAATCCCCATTCAAATTGCAATCAATTGGAATTTAAAGCTACCATTACCTTGATCTTTACGAACGTCAAGTTTGTTATATCTACAGCGCCATATTGAAATAAATTATTATAACGTCAAATCGCCCTATGTAGGATCCTTGCTATAGGGAAGGACTTCTATAGTGATATAGAGATTTTGAGCCACATAAATTTTGAAATACGTTACACGCTAAACGGTAAACTGAGCAAGCGGAATCTTTGAAAAATAGCGGATGACATTTAGCCTTTTTTCAGTTTTTGAAGTGAAAACTTGTGAAGGACGTTATATGCTGTGGTTATACGATAAACGTTAATAGACACTTTAAGTTGGACCAAACACGTTAACGTAATCTTTAAACGTAAATCCTATTTTTTACTATGGCGTTGAGTGACCGTCGGTGCTCACAAATCAGTTTAAGTTAAATTTTCACGTAAACGTTAACGTTATATCTCACAATCATGACCAAACCAACAAATTTTGTTGTGAAAAGGACAAATTAGAAATAATCTTTTGTATTTTGATTATTTTGAATTACATGAAACCTTTTTTTTAAGGCTAAAATACATTCGGCAAAGGTCGACACCGGCAATTTGGCTTTCGGGCCCACTCGGTTTAACGAACGTTTACGGATAAGGTACACGCAAAGACCCGCTAAATAACGTGACACGTAACACGCTATTTTTGGTGAAAAGAAACTGCGCATGCGCAGCTGTCAAATCTTACGTTAGCGTTAACGTATTTTGTCTAACTTAAAGTGTCTATTGAAAATTTTTTGGTAAGGAATTTGATTTTGTGTAACTAACGTCAAATTTTATATTCCGTGCGTTCGGTATTTTGATCCGAGTTCTCCGAGCTTGAATTTACCGTTCGTTTATTCAAAAAGTGTACTCGGAGCAGGCTCATTTGCGTTCGTTTATAAAAATTTCAGGCACTCGGATACAGCGCTCAACTACTCTATTCGCTCGCTGGTCACGTGATTACGGCTCCGCTCAGCTTCAAAACAACTGATGTATGTAAAAAAAATCTCAAAAAAGTTCCAACCGAAAAAACCGACAAAAATTCCCGGTGGATCCGGTGCCTCACCGGATTCAAACAGCTGATTATTCCGGTCAATTTTGGAACGGACGATCTGTTTCAACCGGCAAAGAGTCGGTACATTTTGGAACGGTTTGGTGAGTCAACTTTTAAACCGGTCTCGCACCGGTACAGAAACCGGTGAATTTTGGAAAGTGCCCTATGTTATCGGCTATAATAACGTTCCGTTTATTTCCACATAAAGCATACTAGGTTACCGCTTATTAAGCGGACCGGGTTATTTTTTCACTATTGCGCATGAGCAAAATAACCGATAACGTATTACATTGATCAAATAGGTGGCTCAAAATCTCTCTTTTTTTTTTCTTCACAATTTTTTTTTAAATAGGAATCTAGAAGAAGTAAGCTATCAAGGATAATACATACTATACTAAGGGCCGGTTTATCAATAGAGGGTTACCCCATGAGTTAGGGATAACTCTGGGTCAAAGTTTTGACAAGTGTTTATCTATTCAGGGTCAACTGCTAACTCGGAAGCTATTTCAGGAAAAAGTTAACCCGCGCTCTCACGGCAACTTGGCGTATTTGAGTCTGGGTTAATCTCAACATTTTCTGTTATTTTTTGTCTAAATTTTTTTGAATATTGTGGTTTTGGCTTAAATTTTGAAATTCTGAAGACCTAGGATTTCAGTGATGATGATCAAGAATAATCAAGATGTTCTAGAATTTCTAGAACATGAGTGACGCTCCTACCACGTAAGGTTGAAGTCAAATCCCTAATCCCTTTGGCGATTTTGATGACGTTGGCGCGTTTTCGCTTACAAAAAGAAATAATCCTATTTGTTCTAAAAAAAATCGGAAATCAAGCATAGACTCGAATTCCCAACAGACAGGTGCCACGTAAGTACCTACGCTTATGGTTTTTTCTCTCAGGCATTTTCTTCTCTTTAAAACAAAACAACATATTTCCACACAGAATTAGACTATCCAAGATGCTGTCAAACTTGAATTAAAATGTCCGCCAAGAGGCAGACAAACTTTTTGTTTGCTTGTCAAAGTCACGTATTTTGGTTACTCTATGAAGGTACTGTCAAACTTAAATTAAAATGTCCGCCAAGAGTCCTTTGTTTGCTTGTCAAAGAGTCAAAGTCACGTGTTTTGGATAGGCTAATAGGTAAGCGTACACAATATCGAAAAATTTGTTACGGAGACAAAAAATACCATAAAAAAGTAAGGTTATGAGCAGAAAATGTCAAAAAATCAACAAAAGTGAGCTGGCAACGTTGCATAAGTAATGCCAACCTTCAAAGAACCCGAGAGTTTATGAGTGTTGGGTTGAAAAAGCTTGGATAAACACTTTTCGAATTGAGTAGGTAATTAGCCCAGAGTTAGAGTTAACCCAGAGCCAGCAAACTCTGCCAGTTATCCCTTGATTGATAAAGCGGCCCTAAGAATTGCTTATCGGCCTCGTTTTTGGTAATTGCCGTTATATTGGTGTGTCATCATTTCCGACGTCATTAACAAATTGTTAGCTGTTGGAAGACAAGAATCGTAGTTGGAAGATGAAAACGAGATCTAAGAAAGAGTTGTTTTAGAATATTAATTAATGTAGTAAAACCAAGCATGCATAAAGCAGAGGTCAGCGGAATCATAACCTGTGGTGCAAACAGCCTACGTCAAGGCGAGAAAGGACGGACATGCTGCCTACATCACTACTGGCGATTTCGCGTAGTGGAGGGTTTCAGATTTGTTCCACACAGACCTTATGAGAATAGGCTATCCTGTAGTAGTAGTGTGTTATCCTTGGTATGCCACGACTACGCCGCCATATTCTTGCGCATTTTCAATATGAATATCAGAGGATTTTGAAAAACCAATCAAAAATAGGATGGCAAATTGTCGCTACTTCTTTAACACTAGTAGTACTAATTCAAAATGATATAAAATACCATGCATAAAACTTTGCATGTCACCTGAACATAATTTTCATCAAACAATGATAGGGTTTTTTGGCCAATTTGTGCAGTGAATCAATAAAGCATTATAAATTAAACCTATTTATTGAACAAAAAACTCGAATTCAATCAAAATATGTGAAAATATCCCGTAAAACCAAGTTTGACAAGCGAAACGCCAATTTTGTCACAAATAAACAAAAAATTCATACTTTTTTTGTTTCAATAATTGAATAAATTCCTGAAAAATAATTGCAACTCACCCGTTGTTGCTCATTCTTGCCAGTAGGCACTGAAAATTAAACATTTCCGTTTCAGTGAAAAGCTGGTCGTCCATTTTTCCGGAAGAAATGTTTTCAGAGCCCTCGCAACGTCTGACAAATTCGAATTTGAATCGAACCAAAATCGGCCGATAGGTGGCGGCCGATATTTTTTGCTAATTTTATATAGGAATCTAGAAGTATACCGCGACTTTGCCGCCATATTCTTGCTCGTTTTCGATATGAATATTTAGGATTTTGAAAAATTAATCAAAAATAAGACGGCAATTTTCGCCATAGTGACTTTAAAAAAAAAAAAAAACACGTGGCGCCATCTATTATTTTTATACAATATTATTTGAAAATACTTACAACATAACCTCAAAAACATTGTTTTGGTTCTAAAATAAATTGTTCCCGAAAAGAAAATGTTTTCGCTTTCCAGAAAATGCACCCTGTGTAATAAAAGTGTTCAGTTTCGGTGCGAAAAATTTCAATTTTCAATTGCAAATGAAACCCCAAAAAGCGGTAAGTAAAATGTCTGCTAATTGATTATAAATTGTAGAGATGGCTCTAGTAGTAGTAGTAGTGGTAGGCCAAATATTTAAATTTCTACCTATGAGCGTGCGGAAAGTGCACTTTACCGCACTAATTTGCAAGTGAAAAGTACCATTTTACTGTCCCAATGTGTGCGCGGTAATGTTTCTTTACCGCATAGTGCAGAACCGCAACTAGAACCCTTGGCACCCAAGGCCAATTAAAATTTTAGTCTCTATAGGTACTACCACAGAATATATAGGTACCTATATATTCTGTGGTACTACTAAATTCTATCACTGTATAAAGATACTGGATGATCAATATTTTATCATTCCTAAAATCTTTCACGAGAGCCAGTAATAGAAAACAATTTTACCCACTGTAATTTGACTCAACAAAAATACGCCACTGTATAAAGATACAGAGTGATCAATATTTTATTATTCCCGGCTCTTGTAGGAAATCTTCTACGAAAGCTGACAATGAAAAACATTTTCACCACTGTGTAAAGATACGGGGTGATTAATATTTTGTTATCCCTGGCTTTTAATGTAAAAAATCTTCCACAAGAGCCGGTAATAGAAAACAATTTTACCCACTGTAATTTGACTCGACAAAAATAAGCCACTGTATAAAGATACAGAGTGATCAATATTTTATTATTCCCGGCTCTTCGGCTCTTGTAGGTAGGAAATCTTCCACCAAAGCTGGTCATAGAAAACAATTCCATACCACTGTGTAAAGAAACGGGGTGATCAAATATTTCATGATTCTCGGTTCCTAATGTAGAAAATCTTTCACTAGAGCCGGTAATAAAAAACAATTTTACCCACTGTAATTTGACTCAACAAAAATAAGCCACTGTATAAAGATACAGAGTGATCAATATTTTATATTGTTCCCGGCTTTTGTAGGAAATCTTCTACGAAAGCTGACAATGCAAAACATTTTCACCATTGTGTAAAGATACGGGGTGATTAATATTTTGTTATCCCTGGCCTTTAATGTAGAAAATCTTTCACAAGAGCCGGTAATAGAAAACAATTTTACCCACTGTAATTTGACTCGACAAAAATAAGCCACTGTATAAAGATACAGAGTGATCAATATTTTATTATTCCCGACTCTTCGGCTCTTGTAGGAAATCTTCCACCAAAGCTGGTAATCGAAAACAATTCCACCACTGTGTAAAGAAACGGGGTGATTAATTTTATTTCCTACTGAACTATTTATAACCATATAATACCTTGGTTACGATAATCATAAACAGGGTCTTAACTTAACTCCCAAGGGAGTTAAGGATATCATAACTCCCAAGGGAGTTAGGGATTTCCATAACTCCCGCTTTTACCTTGAATAGATGAAATTTTGACAAAGAATAGAAATTTTGGTTTATATGGTTAATTCCTTTATAAAAATGGACAAAATACAGTAAATTCAGTAGGAAATAAAATTATCTATGTACCACGGGAATTATCAAGTGTTAATACCCACGGGCAATTGGTGTCCCTCGGGCCGAAGGCCCGAGGGACACAAACTTTGCCCTGGGGTATTAACACCCTCATAATTCCCTTGATACATAAATAACTATTATTATCCTCGGTTCCTAATGTAGAAAATCTTTCACTAGAGCCGGTAATAGAAACCATTTTACCCACTGTAATTTGACTCAACAAAAATAAGCCACTGCTGTATAAAAATACAAACTGATCAATATTTTATTATTTCCGGCTCTTGTAGGAAATCTTCCATGAGAGCTGGTTATAGAAAACAATTCCGCCACTGTGTAAAGATACGGGGTGATAAATATTTTATTATCCCCGGCTCTTAATGTAGAAAATCTTTCACGAGAGCCGGTAATAGAAAATAATTTTACCCACTGTAATTTGACTCATTTTAGGTTGTGTATTAATTTAATTTGGCGGCGTGAAGGTAGGTAGTAGGTACTTTGGCACCCTAGGCTCGCGCCTAGTTTGCCACCCCCTTCCCTAGTTGCGGCCCTGGCATAGTGTACGGTAAAGTAGACTTTGGAAGACTCAGAAATTTCATTAATGCCTTTTTAAATAATATGTAAATATATGATTATAGGTAGTATTTTGTATTCAATACTAATGCATGCGGGAAGTGCCTTTACCGTACTGCCCTTACCTTAACGGCTTGACCGGTAAAAAGCCATTGTGTGCGGTAAATTATCACTTTCCGCACTTGTCACGCAAATAACTAATAAAAATTTAAACAAACTTTTATAGTATTAGCAGCAGCCTACAAGCCTCACGAAATCGAAAAAAACCCACTAGACACAAATTATTTCCATTCAAAACCTCAACCTCAACAAAAACCATTCTCATTAATCCTACCTCCGCCCAACATTACGGGCACTTTGCATTTGGGCCATGCCCTTACCGCATCTATTCAAGACGTTTTAGTAAAATGGTAATGCCTAATTTAATAAAACCTGTATCAAACATACAAATCTTGATTATTTTAGGCATAAAATGCAAGGAATTCAAACTGTTTGGGTGCCAGGTTTGGACCATGCAGGAATCGCAACTCAAGTTGTAGTCGAAAAGAAATTATTCAAAGAAAAAGGCTTGACCAGGCATGATTTAGGTAGACAAAAATTCGAAGAGGAAATTTGGAAGTGGAAACAAGAAAAGTCCACTACAATAATCCACCAATTAAAACGTTTAAATATCGACCTAGATTGGGACAAGGAAGTTTTCACAATGGACTCTAAAAGATCAAAAGCAGTCACTAAGGCTTTTATAAAACTCTTCAATAAAGGACTCATTTACCGGGCAGATCATTTGGTAAATTGGTCATGTGCGTTACAATCAGCAATTTCAGATATTGAAGTGGATCATTTGGAAATTGCTGGAGCTACAGACGTAACAGTTCCTGGCTACAGTCGGCCAATCAAATTTGGAATACTTACAAAATTTGCTTATAGGTTTGAAGACTCAAGCGAACTAATTGTTGCTACAACAAGGCCTGAAACTATTTTAGGTGATGTTGCTGTAGCAGTTAATCCAAAAGATTCAAGATATAGTGGTTTGATTGGCAAAAAGTTGCTACATCCTTTCAGAAATGAGCTTATACCTGTAATAGGGGATGAATTTGTTGATCCTGATTTTGGTACTGGGGCTGTTAAAATTACCCCTGCACACGATCCTATTGATTTCAATGCAGCTAAGCGTCATAATTTAAAGCCCTTATCGATTATTGATGAAATGGGGCTTTTAAATGATAATTGTGGCCAGTTTAAACATCTCAAACGATTTGAGGCAAGAGATGTTATAATAAATGAATTAGCTAAAAAAGGCTTATTTAAGGAAAATCAAAATCATAAAATGACAATACCAATTTGTAGTCGCTCTAAAGATATTGTAGAAAGTCTAATAAAGCCTCAATGGTTTTTGAGCTGCAATCAAATGGCTCAAGAAGCTGTGGCAGATGTAAGAGAAGGCAGACTCAAAATCCAGCCGGAAAATTTCAACAAAATTTGGTATCAGTGGCTTGAAAATGTTAGAGACTGGTGCGTGTCACGTCAGTTATGGTGGGGTCACAGAATACCTGCCTATTCGTGTAAATATCAGCAAAATCATATTTGGGTTGCGGCTGAAACTGAACAATTTGCTAAAATTGAGGCTTCAAATTTGTTAAATTGTGCTGTGAATGATGTTGAATGTATTCAAGATGAAGATGTTTTGGATACTTGGTTTTCTTCAGCGTTGCAACCTTTTTCTGTTTTCAATCATAAGGAATCAAAATACTATCCATTATCTCTTATGGAAACTGGGCATGATATTTTATTTTTTTGGGTTGCAAGGATGGTGATGCTTGGTAAAAAACTTACAGGCCAATTACCGTTTGATGAAGTTTTGCTGCACGGTATTATTTGTGATGTCAGGGGAAGGAAAATGTCTAAAAGTTTGGGCAATGTGATTGCTCCTGAAGAAGTTATTGATGGTTCTAGTTTGGAACAACTCAAAGTTGGTATTGAGGCGAATTTCAAAAATGGTGTTTTGTCTCTGAATGAATTTGAAACAGCTTCTGAGGGGCAACAAAAGATGTTTCCCAATGGTATTCCAGAGTGCGGAGCCGACGCTCTACGGTTCACTTTGTTGTCACATAATGTAAAAAGTATATGATTAGAATTGTTTGTTGATAAATCATTATTTTGATTTTTTTAGGCCACGTAATCAATTTTGATGTACGCGAATGCCATACAAACAAATTGTTTGGTAATAAAATCTGGCAAGCTACCAAATTCGCTCTTTTGTGGTTTGATAAAGTTGCTGAAGCTCAATCAAAAGAGGTTTTTGAAGAATTTGATGTGGAGGAATGTGCCTTAATGGATCAATGGATTTTGAGCCGATTGAATTTTATGATTGAAACCCTGGATGGGGCTTTGAAAAGTTACGATTTTTATATTGCTACTGGGGCTTTGAAGGAGTTTTTGTACTATGAGTTTTGTGATATTTATCTGGTAAGTGTTTTATTGGGATTATGTATGAGATGTTTTTCTATTCATTATTCAGCTCCTTACTGCAATTTTCTGGATGTTATTACGTCATCGAGTTCAAATTTTGATTATTATCGGCTCTTGATCTTTGGATACATTTTCTTAAAACAATCAAGAGCTTATAACAAAATTCGCCCAAGTACTCTATTTATTTAGTTAGATGGTAAATGGCGAGCGGTATATTGATGGTGTTTGTCTCCTTAAGCGGCTACCTATAAAATTGTGGAGGGGGTCTATTCGCAAAAGAGAGAAACAAACTATTGAGGTTTATTAAATTATATTTTATTATACTTAAAACCAAAAATTTAAATAAGCAAATATCTTTCTATTCTGACTGACACTTCTCCTCCGCTACGCGTCGTTCGGTGAACAGCAGCCGCGTGCGGAAAAATTCATTTTCCGTACTTGTTAGGTAAATAGCTCGGTAAATAGCTATTTCAGTCAATTCACTCAAGTTTTTATGCATTAAAGTTTCAATGTCAACTCACTTTTTATCATTCCGAATCATTTATAAAGTCAAAAAAAAAAAAAACAATAATAGTCACTAGAGTACTTACATTTAAATTGTCACTCGATAAAATACTTAATTAATTTACTCAAAATTCAGCTAGAGCACGCACATATTGTTGAACGAATTTAAATGGCCTTTTTTTCATAAATTTCCGTTACTTTTCAAAGATTTAACGCGTTTTCCCGAGGCACAAGAAAATAAACTCTTCGCGAATTTTATCCGCACTGACTCATTATAGGTACTGTAAACTTAAAACTGAACTGGACTGAACTAACAACTAGTGATGGGCAGATTCCCGGGAAAGTGTTTTTTTGGGAAAGTTCCCGGGAACATTCCAAGGAACGTTCCCTAAAATTGGGAATGTAAAGGAATGTTTACAAAAACCAACACAATAAACAAAATTGCCTGCATCTTTTGAAAAAAAAAAAAAAAAAAAATTTGAAAAATAATAGTTATTTATGATATAAGTGCTAAAAGTGACATTTTATTTTGTGAAAAAGGAAGTTTGGGACACGACGCCGAAGGCGGAGTGTTCCATCCCTTTGAACAAGATAAAATCACTTTAAGCACGAATATCATACACTATTTTTTCTACAAACGCACTAAAAGTGATTACTTTTGGCACTCAGTGCTAAAAGTAATCACTTTTAACACCAGTGTCATAAAATGGCATTTTAGACACTGACAGCATCTGTTGAAAATTACACTTCTAGTAACATTTGTAGAAAAACTTATTTTTTCTATGAGTATTGACATATACCTACATCCATTTTCTATTGATCAATGTAAATAAATGATTACTCATACAGTGAGTTTTTTTTCATTACTCAATTGTTTTCAACCAATGAAAATATACTGGTCTCATTACTCCACTATTTAAGAGCCAATCAGAAAATTCGACAAGTTGACAATATACTTCAACCTGTGCTTCAACCAGAGATGCTTCAACCTTCCAATCGGTCATTTTGATAGCTCGTTTGGACAGACTTGTGCTAACCTAACCTCACTTTGTCCTCTAGCTGTCAGAATTGTCAATTAATTTTGTTACGAAAATTAAATAAAAAACCGCATAATTGGTGCCTATTATCTATTAATCATAGAATAAGTATAGTATTCTACTCGTGGGTAATGGTTATTACTCACTCGGATGATTACACTACTCGCCTGCGGCTCGTAGTGCAAACTTCATCCTTCGTGAGTAATAGCCAACATTACCCGCTCGTTAAATAATATACCATTATTCGATAATGCATTTGAAAAATAATACTAAGGAAATAAAAAATATTTATACCTATGTCTTTGTACTTTTGACTCTTGAAGTCAGTGAAAAAACTCAACATTACTACATTACTACTGTGTACTGCAATATTGCACATTGTAACTATAGAATAGACGCACATACATATTAAGTAATGAAAAAATAAGAACCACATTCTATTTTTTACCTAGTAGTAAGAAAAACTAAATATTTTACCCTGAAAAAACCTAAATATTGTATTGTAATATTGTACTAAACCCTAGAAATCTCGAAGTGCTAACAAAAAAAAGGCAACTTGTTAATTTTGGTGTAGTAGGTTATTCTCGAGGTTATTAGACTATAAAATATCATTCAATTTTGTTTTTTCAAAAACATTCCCAGTTTTTGTTCACTTTCCCGACTTTAAAGAAGTTCCTGGAACGTTCTCTGGGAATGGGAATGTTCCCTTCGACACATCACTACTAACAACTGACCCGCTTCTTCTAAAACCCCTGTATTTATATTTTTCGATTCTACCCAAAATATTATTAATTACCTACCAAAATCGACAATAGGCGGTCGTTTGACCATCTATATTTCAATCCTATTGGTCGACCTAGATATTATTCCAAAAATTAATTTCATCATTTAGAGGATGATGCAATCTGTTCGAAATTTTTGTCATAACCTTGTAATTGATATTTTTCGGGTTCTTATTTACGAAAAAACTAACGCAACAATTTTAAGAGAGTTGAGAACTTCTAGAAAATATAACAGTCAGAGAGAGAGAGAGAATTCTGTAACGAATAGAGATATTTTCGCTATCTCTATTGACGTCTCCTCTCTATTGATTGCGAAAAGAAAGAAGACAGCCAAGTACTATAGCGATACCTACTATCTCTATCCATTACAGAATTCCGCCTCAGGCTACTAGACACATAAAAGGCTTCAATAAGACCAATTCACTGATAGCTTTGTCAGCATCGCCTCGATTCGCCTAAACCGGATACAAGGTAATTCGTCTTATGTGTCTAGTAGGTTGGTCTAGTCTATATGTATATGAGGCAAATCAAGAGCCAGTAATAGTTCAACATTTGTATTCAATATAAATCTAAAAGAAATAATTTAAATTAATAAGTACATCCAAGAAGTGAAAGTGATGTCATCCTAAATTCCATTTGGCAACACACAAGTTATCGGCTAAAATTCTTCCGTGGCCCAGATAGCCGTGATCGTCTAGTGGTTAGGACCCTACGTTGTGGCCGTAGTAACCCAGGTTCGAATCCTGGTCACGGCAACTTTTTTTTATTTTTTTTTAGGAGACAATCAAGTCCAATCTCAAACACCAAACCTCAAGCCCGATATCCAAACGACACTGTCAAACTTTGCTGACTTGCCTGGATAAAAGCCTTAGGGCTCTAGCGCCTTTTATGCCAGCGCTTAGTAAGCATTTGCACAAGCATTTGCCCAGATTCTGGGGTTTGGGCGGAGAAATGTCTTTTCCTAAGGCCACAACAAGGAATGAGATTTTGGAAAAGGAAGTTGATGAAGTTATGGAAATAGTTGTTGGCATTAGACGATTGAAGAAGATTTTCAATCTGACTTATAAGTTTAAACCTGAAGGTGATAAGTAATTTTTTTTTATTTCTATTGTGTTTAATTATTTTTTGTAGTATTTCTAATACCATCTAACTTGGATAAGGCTAAAAAATTCTCTCAAGTCATTCAAGATTTGTCTCATCTTTACACATTTCACATTTTGGATCAAAATGCCTCCAAGCCTCAAAAAGCTGGTCTAATAGAAGACTCTATAGCAGAAAACAAGATTTATTTGTTTGTGCCTGAAGAGTTGAGACAAAACTTAGAGCTGACAAAAATTGCCGGCAAAAAGGAAAAATTACTCAAAGAATTGGAGAAAATTAAAGCTATTGCTGAACCTGGAGACAGACATGTCAAAAAGGTATTATAATAATTGTTTATAGCCCTGTTCCAACAGACATGAAAATCATTCTAGAACCAGTAATTTCTAGTTGCCCACCTATTATTTTCAATAAGTTGAACGTTTATTCTACTTAACAAATTACCATTCTAGAAAGGTTCTCATGTTTGTTGGAACAGAGCTAATATATTTTACTTTGTAGATGGCCCAAATCTCAGAAAAAATTACCAGGCTAAACTACATAGAAACTTTATCGCAATAAGGTAGAAAACAATTTTTTTATTTATGTATAACTATTAAAAAAAAATGCAAAATCAAAAATCTGAGTCTTAATATTACAAGCAAAAAATGGCAGTTGCGATTACTGAATGGCAGTTTTAGATTCTCAAACTCGTATCACCAAATGCATCTTCCATTAACTCTTCCTGTCTGGGTCTTACGAGCATTCGCGCTGATTTTAGCCCTATATTGGAACCCCTAAAACTGTCCCAATACATAGACTGATAATTCAATGTATCCGGATGTTCGCCGGGCAAATATCTTCCATTTAGGTTGCTTTTGTCGCAAGACTTATACCACCATGCTCCACCTAAAAAAAATTACCTATAATGTAAATGACTTTGATATTACGATTATTAGTACCGTGTGATTGTGCGCAACTGCCTTCACCCCACGAATCCTGGTCCTTGTCTTTGGTACTGAATTTACTGCCAGCGTGGTACATCAACGAATCTCCAGCGGTACCAGTGTAACCGTTGAGAACCTTGAGGGCGTAGCCTTGTTCCTCTGAACCGATACTGAAATGAGAGTACCGAGCGTATTTTTCCACACCGTCGACGTCTACTAGCTGAATAAGTAGTTCATTGATTTGGTTACCTATAATGAATTGAATTGTGCAAATTGTATATACAGCAAAAATCTGGCAAATATGAGAAACATGATGATATCCAGAAAAAGGAAATCTAATCTAAGATGGTAGTGAAGAATTTATCCTCACCAGTTAGTTGATGAATATATTCCAATCCCAACCAATAATCGCCTGCTACGTTGCCAAAACCCACTTTATAATCGTGCCAATCTCTGTAAAAATCTTCCTCGCCTAAAGACCGATGGTGTATGGTCACCCAGCCGCCATTTTTGCCTGTCATGTCGCAATGCACCCAAAACTGATCTTTGCTCAAAGTCGGTTGAATGAGGTAAATACTAGAAGGAGCTTCTGGATTTTTCTGTTTGACTTCTAGACAGTTTGCAGGCGTGATTGTATTTGATGGTTTTCCAAAGACATTTTGGATGCTGTCAGTTATTTGAAGTTGTTGTTGAAGGGCACTAGAAATAATTTATCGATTTATAGAAAAAATTATTATATTGAATTTATACCTTGTTGTGTTGGCAATGGTGGTAAGATTTCGTCCAAAACTTTCCAAATCGGCTGCCAGCAATTTTAGGGACAGTAGAATTACTCCAATATTGGAATGCAGTTCGGCATTATTGTCGGTTGGTTGGAGAACGTTTCTGCTTTTCTGTATGTCCAACTTCAGCGCATTGATTTTGTCATCCAAATGAGCTTTGAGTTGATTTATTTTCAATTCGCATTTGTCAGGTTGAGGATTGTCTGATGGTTGGTCTAAGTTTCTGTAACGTTCACGGTAAGCCTAAAAATTCTAACATTAAAACGGTAATTAAAACAAGAACAGATATAGAGGAGGTATGCCTGCAATTGCAGGAAGCCATCCAAACTTTATATCATGAAAGAAAACTACGGAAAATCGATGCAAACAAAATTGGTGGAACGCAAACCTCGAAATGCTCAGGAAAAATACACAAAAGCTTTCTAGTATAGCAAAGAAAACCTGAAACTGGGAAGCATATCAGCAAACCCTAACGGAATACAACAAAGAAATTTTGAAAGCAAAAATAGAATCCTGGAAGAAGTTGTGCAACGAAGTTGCAAACACTTCCGAAAGAGCTCATTTTCAGGAAGTTCTAGCCAAGAGTTCGATAGAACCGACGGGAACCATTGAAAAACCTGAGGGAAACTTCACAAAAAATGGGGTTTATTTCTTCAAACCCATTTTCCAGACTCCACCGAAGTGACCCCTGATAGCAGAAATCCATAAAGCCGTTTCGCAGCTCTACACTAACTGATGACAAGAGTAGGGAACTCACTACAAAACAAGGAAATCGCACTAGTGGCATTCCTTGACTTAGAAGGAACCTCCTTCAGCTGCTGGTCAACATGCGTTTAATGCAGATGGATCAAATCCATATTAGAACACAGGACTATAAACTCGACACTATTGCTGAAACCTCTATTGAAGTAACCGCGACAAAAGGATGCCCACAGGGCGGAGTACTCCACCACTTTTGTGGAATCTAGTTGTGGATCAACTTCTGAGGAAACTAAACGATCAAGGCTACTTCCTCCTAGGCTATTTGGATGACATAGTTTTTATCATTAGGGGAGGATTTACCAGGACGGTATCAAACCTCATGCAGGACGCCTTAGGAATCATTGAGGAGTGGCGCACACGAGGGAGCAACTTTGCGTCAACCCCTCCAAAATAAAACTCATTCCAAGCTGACATGGAACCAACACATTCAAAAAATAACTTACGAAAAGCAAGATGACGTTGATGTCACTAAAAAGAGCGTTTGGGGAAACATGGGGACTGAAACCGTCATTTGTACACTACGGTTGTAAGACCAATGATAACATGGTGCGGTGCACTTGTATGGTGGTTTAAAGTGAACCAAAGATAAGCAAACCTGGAGCTAGCCAAAATCCAGAGACTTGCATGTCTTTGTATTACCGATAAAGCACACCAACGGCAAGCATGGAAACTATCCTAAAACTCCCAGTAATTGACCTTATCGTCAAAGCAGAGGCTAAAATCGGAGCATATCATCTCCAGCTGGAACCCAAAACCAAATGGACATGCGGCAATTACCAAAATAATCAGAAATCCGATAATACTATAAGATGCCGAAAAAAATTCCTCGAAAAACCCTTCGCCATCGCGATTGTCCCAGTAGGAAATACCAGGGCAACACCTAAACAAGAAATTGTCTGGTTTACTAACGGCTCCAAAACAGAAACTGGAACTGGCGCTGGAATATATGGACAAACTCCCAGATGCGACATCAGTCAACCTCTGGGAAAATGCACTACTGCAGAAATATATGCCATTGACTCCTTTTGAGACAAAACCTAAGGAGGGGATACACAGGTAAAAACATCCTCATCTGCTCAGACAGTCAAACGTTGAGCAAAACACTCGACAGCTTTGAAATAAAATCCAAATTGGCCTGGAAATGCTTGGAAAACCTCAAAAACCTAAGTATAACCAACAAGGTAACTCTCAATTAAATGGATGCCAGGGCATAATGGAATTGAAGGAAATGAAGAAGCAGATGCTCTGACAAGAGAAGGGTCAATAACCAGTTACACTGGGCCTGAACTTGCAATTCGCACTCCAAAATCTTCGGTAAGAACAAAAATAAACCAATGGATGTATAGACAACACCAAACCTACTGGCAAACTCTTCCAAAGCTCAGACATGGTATGGATACAACAACCATCACCTAAACTTACTGAATAGATCCTACAACTAAACAGGAATCAAATCAGGCTAATGACTGGACACTGTAGCCTGAGAAAACACCTTCACTTATGTGAAGGTGTTTTCTTCCAGGGCATCTTCCAAGAAGAACCCATATGCAGACTTTGTGGCGAGGAGGATGAAATCGCCACCCACATAATCTTCGACTGTGAGGCTTTATGCTGGTGGAGATACAGACAGATAGGGCCAGAAGACCCTATATCTAAACTCACCAAAAGAAACACGGTGAAAAGGCTCCTAAACCTTATCAAGGTAAGGAAACTTTTCACTAACTTAACAGATAAAATTGAGATATTGAACAAGTCAATAAATATTCAAATAAATTCTTGAGGAAGTATTCACCAAAAACCAAGAAATCCCCAGTTTTGGTAGGTAGGTACCATTTCATCAATTTTAGTATAATAGGGAAAATTTACTAAAAGTAATTACTTTCATACCTAAGTTTTCCAAGAAATACCTACTGATTTTGACCTTTTTCAAAAATAAATAGCCTACCTACCTACAAAAATCTAATGATTATAATAGGTAACATAACTCTTAAGGAATCTTATTTTTTGTTATCTATAAATTCAAATAATTGTTATTGACAATTTTATTAAAATGTGAATGTCAATCAATAAGGAAATCCAAAAAAACTCCAATTAAACTTACCCCTTGAACTGTACAGCTACCAATCAGGAACAACCCAAAAATCAAAATCTTCATTTTACAAACTGACATTATTTTCTCGGTCAAGCGCAACTCTAATGACTAACTGTTCATCATATAGCAGTCTAAAAATCCAGACTTCTTTTTTTAAAAATAGAACTGTTACATTATTAGAGAGCTTGCGCGAATTCAAATTAAACCAAAAGGAGTCATCAACGTCTGAAGAACCATTTACATTGGGTTCTTGATGACAAAGCAAAGTTTAAGGTCAAGAAAGGACATTATCGTCATTATAATAAGACCTACTTGATTGGAATTTAAGCATTTAGGTACTGCATTGTATATAACATTTTTAAGATTCAAGTTAATCTACATATTGCTTTGTATATTTTTACTATAAGTATGATCTCATAGAACTAGTTATTAAAACATAAATTAATTATCAACAACGTTTCAAGAAGCTAAAAGAAATTATTATAAACAGCGTTTGTGTTAAAGTTTCACAGTCGGTGTCTATTTATTTTTAATTCTATGGGCTGAAACGATAATAGATCCATTAGACAAGACAAGCGAAAAGCTATTAAGAGTTGTTATACGACCTTCAAATTGAAATGTAATGTGCTTAAATTAGCTTCATTAATTTACATATTGAGGAATTATTAATTAAGAACACACATTATCCAATTGGAAAGCACTATTCCTTTTAATTTAATAACATCAAATCACAAAGTGTACCGATTCATAATAACAAAAAAAAAAAAAAACTACAGTAAGCTAAGACGAATGTTAAAAATTGCATCATTTAAATGTTTCCAGGGAAATGGGCGTCTTCCCTTTGCTCGTCCCACTTTTCCACCCAAGAATTAGGGCAAACCGAGTTGAACACTTTCTTGAAATATTCGCATGGAGCGTAGTTTGTGCCCCTGATCCTCTGGCACCTGTGGAAATCCACGTAGCTCTGGTAGCAGTGTCTGGATTGGTTGGTGTTGGGGAAACGTGGGTCGAAGGGGATGGTATCCAATTTGTTCGACATCTAGAATTGAAGATGAATTTTTTGTGGGAATTGGAAGTTTTTTTAGGTAAATTTGCCAAAAATCTTTGCAGCAACTTACCTTGAGACAATTGCGTACTTACTGTTATTTTTGCTGATAAACCATCACATATTTTACAAGATATATATAAAAAAATATTCAAACCATTTTCGACACAGCCAAATAAATATTAAAAACACAAAAATGTTTTGTTGTTTTTATTTAATTCAACAGTAAAACAAATAAACTTTATTCTAGAAAAGCTACACTAATGAAATTGCTTATTTAAATGAGAAATTTTGGTGTTACGCTAAAGGAATTAGGTATACATTTTATGTTTGTGTATTTTGTAACACAAGAATCTATACTGTATTTTTTCCCAAAATAGATTTTGACTCTATCAACTTTGAAACATAAACAATGCCGCTTATTGGTCACAAGATGTTTTTTACACGACATGCATTGTAAAACTGATTCCAACCTGTAGGCATATTGCGACCAATCATATGTTTATGTTTCAAAGTTTTCAATGTTAAAATCTATCTTGGGAAAAAATAGACTTTAGAAAAGGACAACTTTTGATCCAGCAACATTTACTGCCAAACACCAAAATATTATTTCACAACAAGGGTAGAATAATTGATTCTCCCACCCCTGTGGTATAAAAATAACATTAAATAAATCATTATTCTTTTTTACCTAAGGGTACAAGGAGGCCCATTGGAAAACTATAAAAATAAAGTATGCATATCTAGTAATTAATTATTGTTTCAAAAACTGTGTCAGACTTTTTTTGCAATACTCATTGCAAAACAAATAAATTTTGATAAAAAAAAAATTATACTGTAAAAAACAAAATACACTTAAATCTATAATACATTTAACTTATAACCATCACTTGACCAACGGTCTAGTTTTGGAATCGTCATCACAATGTTCCTCCTTGTACCGTCTGACTTCTCTCATATACATAGCCCAGGCATCTGAATTAGTAGCTTCTTCATTTTCTGGATTTTTCAATTTAGCCACTATGCCTGTCTTGAGAACTTTGCCCCCTCTACGTTTACCGAACATTGGTAAAACGGGTTTTTTAACCTCCACCTCAGGTGGAGGTTCCTCTTTGGCCTTTTCCTCTTGCATTTTTTTGAACATTTCCAAAAATGAACCGTCGTTTTTGAATGGAATAGGGTTCTCTTCTTCATCTTCTTCAACGTCTTCATCGATTTTCATATCTTCTTCCTTAATAATATCACCACGTTCTCTTTCTGTGACACTATTTCTTCTACTATCAGCATGTTTAGATTTAGATCTTCTTTTATCTTTCAGATGTGATCTAGATGGAGATCTAGAACGACTTCTGGATCTACGCCTATAATGAGTTCTTCTATCTCTTGATTTTGATCTAGAATACCTCCCGCGCTTTTTATACTTATCGTTTCTATGTCTGTGATAATCAACACTTGAAGAGGTAGAACTGGACGAAGAATACCTTCTGCGCCTCCTTCTAGATCTAGACCTTGAACGCCTTTTATACTCTCTAGACCGACTTCTTGACCATCTAGAAGGACGATTGCGACGTTTATGTCGGCTGCGGCTCCTGCTCCTGGAACGGACTTTTGATTTTTCTGGAACTATTTCAGTAGATGCACTGCTTTTAGTAGAATCATCGTATTCGGTTCCCGGAGGTGGAGGATTGGCCCACTCTTTGTTCATCCCTGTGAATTCGAAGAGGCACCTACAAGAGAACTTTCCAGGTATAGAAATGCTGCTTATGGGCAATGACAATAAAAACAAGACGGTTTTTTTGGCACTGTTTAGAGAAAGTGCGGCCCCCACGAAAAAGGGGCCGAGGCTGTGTCGAAAACGGGCAAAGGGGGGCCAAAAATAAAAAAGACATAACACATATTCTACTTACAGTGGTATTAGGTAATCAATGAGAGCAAGTGTGACGTTTTTTTTTTTTTAGACAAATTTTTTGGCAAATTTACTAAGCTAACAGTGCGTGTTCGTAAACTAAATCGTTCTTCGATAATTTCGAAGGGTTTTCTTATAAATTTTAGGGTTTTTTTACCTTATTTTCTCCCTTGAAATTTCCTTTTTGTTCAAATTACACAAAATGGCTTCCTCACCAAATGCCAATTTACGAGTGAATTGACATTTGGATTTGACAGCAATTGCAATGGCAAAATGGAGTATCGATAATAGCGGAACCTGTAATAATAATTCCTTTTTGTTTTTGTATGTTATAATTTGTATAATGAGTTATTAATTATTGAAATATTAATTATTATACATTTTTTTTTGAATAAATAACGTTGTAATAGTATAAATTAGTTAATTATTCTAGGGTGTCAGCAAAAAGGCGTAATGAAAACGCTATAAGTTTGACAACAGGTTGCGTTCAGAGGTGCTTTCCAGTGACCCATTTGAGTTACTCCCAGAAGCCTTATTCTGTAAGGAACAACTGTTCGATTCGGTAGAATTTCTTCGATTGTGACGTCATTTTCGGTTTAGTTTAGACGAGAGCGTTCCAGTGCTGCTTATGTCGAACAGTTCAAGAGCGTCACACTTCAGGAGCATGATACTCTAACAATTTAGGCACTGGAAAGCGGCTCAGGAATGGCAACAGCCAAGCCAAAATTGGCATTTCGGTGGAGGGGGAAAAGTAGGTTTTGGCAGCATTGCCGTCCTTGAACGCACCCCGGCTGTCTTGTTTTTGTTTTCCTTTTACCTAACCTCAAATTTCAAATTTTTTATTTATCTATCTTTTATCTGAAAAATAACAAAATAGTTAAAATACTTGACAAACTACACTTTCTTTTTTTCCAAGATAGATTTTGACATTGAAAACTTTGAAACATAAACAATAACGCTTGACCCTGATTAGTCACAAAATGAGGTGTTTCTGCAGGTTGACATCAGTTTTACAATAGCGGCCAATAACTGCTATTTGCACCGCTACAACTTAAGGTCAGCCTTAGTCTTAAGTGGAACTTAAACTACGATTTTGCTTTGCACCGCTGTTTAGGGTCCACCTCAAGTCTAGTTAAGTTAAGCCCCAGATTTTCTCCGCTTAGTTGGATTCTAACCTCATTTTTGGGTTTTGTTGCCTTTTTGGCCCTGGCTAAAGTAACAGAGGTGTTACTATAATTATTTTTTTAAAGTAACATCAATTCAATGTTGTCACTGATGAAAACGTTACTTTTAATAGGGGTTAATAGTAACGGAGGTATTACTCTAATTATTTTCTTGAAGTAACGTCAATATAGCAATATGTAGATAGGTAATTACTTTCTTTAGCAATTTAAAGTAAAGGTGATATTCTTGGTTCTTGGCATTTGTTTTAGAGAAAAATTAGAAATAAATAAAAAATAACCTGACTTGACTTTGAAGAATAGAATAGAATACTTATAAAACAGGCACAATTATAGGCAAGGCAGGAAAGACACATTTTGTTATAACTGTCAGAAAGTAACAATTTGTTACCTTTTTTTCAGGTAGGAAAATAGTAATTTCGCCTCCCTATGGAGGAAAGTAAATTATTTTCCTTCCTAGGCAGAAGTTTTTTCGCTGTAGATTATCATAGTTTTAGCTCCAAATTAAGAAATTACCTATCTTCATTTGCTGAAAAAAAAATGCTTGGAAGTTGATGGCCATTATTTTATACCGCTAATGATTAAAAATGGAAAACTGAATCACTTTGCACACTCATAAAAAGGTAAACAATTGAATTTCACCTGCAGGAGAGAACTATACCTACACTCCCGTTCCTTTGTAAGGGCATGTGAGGAATAGGAATATGGAGACGCCGTTTTTCTCACAAAGGATTTGTATTATCAATATGTTGATTCAAATTTTTGGTTTATAAAAAATAAAATATTATTGTTATGTTGTTGAATATCACCTTTTCTTAGTTTAAATTGCTAAAGAAAGTACCTACCTTTCTTTTCTATATATTGCTACTATATTGACGTTACTTCAAGAAAATAATTAGAGTAAACACTTCTGTTACTATAACCCCTATTAAAAGTAACATCAGTGACGTCAATGAACTGATGTTACTTTAAAAAAATAATTATAGTAACACCTCTGTTACTTTAGCCAGGGCAATTCGAATCAGCTGATAATTCAAGATGGCGATGCGGCACAAATGTAAGCAAACCATTGAGGTTAGACATGCCTCCATATAAACACAGATATAAATGTGTGTTATTTCACTTATTTCTACCTGTTTCAGAGTTTAATTTGATGAATTTTAATTTATTACAATTTTCTTTAATGTTCGTAGTTACTTGGAATATTTATCTATTAATAAAATACCTGGACATCAGGTACAAAACGAACCCCAAGAAGCTGTGCCCCAAGTAGGTAAAGAAAGGCCTAAATATAAGTTACATCAAGGAGATTTTCTGCACCTCCGATCAGTTGTTTATGTGCTCCAGAACTGTAAGCAGTCTGAAACATATAGTTCATAAATATTTTTTGATTTTTGATAAAATGCAGAATGCTTATCTACAAAAGTTATTGCTGGAATCTCCTGATTTTCAGGGCCGGATTAAGGGGGGGGGGCTTTGGGGGCTAAAGCCCCGGGCCCCAAAACACCACCTTACACGGGGAAGAAATCATGCATATAATTTTACAATTTCGATTTCGCCATCTATTATCTATCAATTATATCAAACACAACACTATCCTATAATACAGTGGCGACAATTGCTGTTTTATTTTTGATTGGTTCTAGAATCCCTTATATTTATATTGAAAACGCCGCCATCTTGTTCCCAACCTCTTGTTAATTTCAAATATGAATAGGTACTACGAGATTCAGGTGAACATCCATCATAAATCATGGAAAACAACGTATTTGATGGACCTAAGAATGGTCATCAAATACGTCGATTTCAATTTTTTATGATGTCCATTTAAATCCTAAATATTAATACCTATTTGAAAATAACAAGAGGTTGGCAACAAAATGGCGGCGGCTCCTCTATTGTCGCCACTGTGTGTAAAGGTTTATTTAGCCATTGTGATAAAAGCTACAGTGACTTTATAAAGTCTGTTTTTTATTTAAAGATAAAAGTCAAAATGACATTATGTTGGCAATACAATATAAAATTGTCAATGCTTCCAAATTTTTTATGTAGAAAAGGCTTGTGTTGCCAACATAGTTACCAAATTTTTGACTTGGGGAACTATCTTAAAAAAAAAAAAAACTTTTCAAGACAGTGGCGACAATAGGAGCCTTGATAGGGCCAATGAACTATAAACTACACGTACCTGGAATGGCCCGCCGATCTATAAATTTGCGGCAGATTGAGATGGAGAATGTGGGGTACACACATCTCTATTTATCTTATTGGCGAATCATGGAAATCTTTCCTTGTCCAAAAAATATTTTATTCGAGGTTAGGAATATGCCAAACCTAACAGCAATGAACTGGAGAGAGAAAGGGATACCCCACTATGTAGCTTTTTTGGGCGCACTAAGCGAGATGACAAATGCCATACAAATGCCATATCCGACAACGGTCGGTGCCATTCCAGATACGTGTAGTTTATAGTTCATTGGTCGCCACTGTCTTTTATAAAGTTATTGTAATAAATGCACCTGCAAGGTAAAGTTTTGTTTGAGTGACGTTTGAATTCATTTCAGGGACCTAAGGGCCCCTTTTGTGAAAATAGCCCCGGGCCCCAAAAGACTTTAATCCGGCCCTGCTGATTTTGGGAAGAGGTAAAAGTTTGTAGTTCACTTGTATTAAAAGATAATGAGCATATGAAACATGCCTTGCCAATCTTGGCATTTTTGACAAATATAAATTGTGCCAGAGGCAAATGAATGTCAAAAACATAAATTACATGAACCACAACAACGCTAAAAATAAAAATTTCTATCAAAAAAACGTTCTCGTTCCCAAACTGCTAAAAACACTTTAGAAATTCACAGAAAAATGAAAATAAATAAGGTTGAGGTGAAGTTAAGCTGTGTAAACAGCCTCTAATGGACGTCAAGGTTAAGTTTGCTGTGAAGTTTGTTATGCCGCAACGCCATCTTGAACGTCAAACATCAACTGCCCTAGGTTAAGGGATGAAATACGCATTTTTGCGCTGTTGCCAATAGCTTTCAATTCTTAGCTAATAGCGTTTCCGATTGGTAGATTCAGTGCGCACTGAGTGTATTTACATCCTTTTAATCAACCTGTAGAAGAAAAAGACAGAAATAGAAAAAATTGCACTAGTTCTACCAATCGGAAACGCCATAAGATTTGGTCGGTGCAAAGCAATTCGACCTAAAGGTTCACCTTAAGCTTAGCCTCTACCTAACTTTGTTTTTAAGGAACACCGGTGCAAATAGCTGTAAAAGTGGCATTAGCGGCATTGTTTATGTTTCAAAGTTGACAATGCGAAAATCTATCTTGGAAAAAAATAAAGTTTTTTTTATAGATAATATTTTGATAGGAAAACCGAATGTCAAAGTGTTTTAAACTCAACAATTAGATTTATTCAATTTAAAAGTCTCCATTGATAGTGATTATCTGCTGTGAAAATGAGCCAAACATACAAAAATATGGTCCAAAAGAAGCACATTTTGCACAGCGGCATATTCAATCAAACACTCAGAGACTGGCAATCGTTGAAATCCGAAATAACCCCCAGAAATTTGATGTATCCAGTTTTCATTATGTAAGGTAACCGAGAATTAGAAATCCACA